CCCACCAAGAGCCGGGGTCTGTCGGAGGTTTCTTCCGTTAAAGGGAGTTTTTCCTCCCCACTGTCACCAAGTGCTTGCTCAAGGGGGATTTGTTGGGTTTTCCCTATGTAATAATAGTGATAACAGTAATGTCTAGACCTTACTCTGTAAAGTGTCGTGAGATGACTTTTGTTGTGATTTGGCACTATACAAATAAAATTTGATTTGATTTAGATTTTCCATATACCGCACTGCCCCTCTAAACACCATAACAGCCTTAAAGAACAGCATTAATTGAACAACATATTTCAATATTATAACATATGACATTTTGATAGGAAACATCTGTTTTGGGGTTGGACATATAGGAACCCAGGGCTGCCCATACAAAGGAATTCCAAATGGACATTTGTAGTTTAGGTAAATAAACATTTGGGAACTTAATTCAATGTCATTGCACTGCCAGCAATGAGTCCAGATCTAAATCCCATAGATCAGCCGTGGAGAGATCTCAGAACAGCTGGGAGACGGAACCCTTCAAATCTGAGAGACCTGGAGCAGCTGGCAAAAGAAGAGTGGTCCAAGAGAGGTGGAAGAAACTCACCAATGGTTACAGGAAGTGATTAGTTTCAGTTATTTTGTCCAAAGGTGTGCTACCAAATACGAAGTTGCAGCATCACTAATTCTGTCCAGTTCATTTTTAAAGTTCTGTGTGGAATGTGTCAGATTTAGCATTTTTTGAGCTGTTTCAATGCAAACAAAAGAAAAACTTGAAAAAACCAAAGACTTTGTCATTGCAACAATTTTCTGGGAGAAGTGGTGTGTTATCTGACAGAAATGCAGAGGTGCCAATAGTTTTGGCCATAACTGCACGTAAATGGGATATTTCAGTCTTTCCTTTTTAATAAATTTACAAAACACTCCAAAAACCCATTTTTGCTTTGTCATTGTAAATACTGTTTGTAGAATGATGAGGAAAAACAAGAGAACTGAATTAATTTTAAGATAAGTCTAATAAAGGCTACATTCCATTATAAAGCCTCGTCCGGTTCTTTCAAACCAGGAACTCCGAGGGACGACTCAGACCACTTGAGTATATAAAAAATATAACCGTGCTGGTTTATTCAAAGAGTCACAGGCAAGAATTCACACTTCCAGTCCAGAGATCTTCCAACCCCCAGCCTGCCAAAGCAGCCCGGAAACAGAAAAGACCCCGAACCAAGCATTGCTATACAATATTAATCATTTCTGGGCTGTCGAACCGTGACGTCACCCGATAAGCAAGCCTTGCAGCTGCTATAACGTTTAGCCAAAACATGAGGAAAAGTCAAGGTGCGTGACTGTTGTTTTTGTGGTGTGTATCTAAAACAATTGGACATAACCTTACACATTAAGACAAATATTAAGACTAGCATTACAGTTGACACTAACAGCTCTTTTCCTGTAACCTTGACGTGCCTGCAGTCTGCACTGCAGGCTGAACAGTTAACAGCCTGAGCTAGTCAACCTGTCTGCACTAAACATTCCTAGACAACAAATCTCTGAATATCTATCTAACTAAAAAATAACCTAACACTAACAACAAAATGTGGAAAACTTTAAAGTATATGCTTTCTGTATACACTGTACATCAACAGATAGCTGAGGTGGCTGACATTTGGAAATACCAGGGGCTGGGAAAGGTTGCATTAAAAGAGGCTCTAATCATAGCAATTTGAGAACAGGCACTAACCACCAGATCAATGGAAGCAGGGGTGTACCACACTAGGCAGCACCCCAGGTACAGACTGTTCAGAGGACCCAGAAAGAGCCAGGAACAGCATACACCAAATGGAACAAGTAGGCAGTAAAGCATTTTTGCACATTTTTGTGTATTTGGCCCCCATCTTTTACAGCATAGTCATGTTACAGGTGAATAACTGCAGGGAGAGCAGGAGAGTAGAAGTTACAACAACTAGAAAAGCGAACATGTGACTGAAAAGTCACCAGCTCAATCTCTGGACCTGGATCAAAAATGGCTGGGTCCAGGTGACAATGCCATTTTTGTCCCACTCTCATTAACACCACTGTGGTGCCCTTGAGCAAGACCCTTAATCCCCAGCTGCTCCAGTGGAACTGCTCAGTGGCCACAGGTCAGTCTGTGGTTGTACTGAGCAGCTTCCAGGTGTGAATGTGTGCAAATGTATGAATGTGACCAGGGCATTCTTGCAAAAGAGAGGTGCTCTCTCAAGAAACCTACCTTGCCTAATTAAAAAAAAACACTATAGCCTATTCTCATGTATAGTACATATATGCGCATCAATACTATTTCAAGAACAACTTAAAAAATCTTGAATCAACCAGTATTATGTTAGGCAGCTGTTATTTACTGCTGCTGCATTGTATTAAACTGTATTCCTATTTCTCATTTTACTCTCTCTTTAACAGTTAACTGGGCCATATAGTATGAGGCAAGAATTTAAACTGGACACTACAGCAGTGAATATAGCACCATACCATTTATTACTCCTTTAATAAGTCTGAGTTAATTGTTTTGACAACTTTAATTAGTGTATTAGAATCCCTGAAGAAACTAGAGCACAGAACCTTGGGTCCATGTAATGAATACGCCCATTAATACTTTTTTTTTTACTTTTCTGTTGCCGACTGTTGCAGTCAATTGTTTTGCTTGTGCAAAATAAATAAATTCAAATTTAAAATAATTCAAATTGAAGCTATACCACATTACCCTGCTAAATCATTTCATTGAATGAGGTGAAGACTGAATACATCGCCTTTAGCCCGGACCCCACTCACATCACACCCGGCCAAGGAGCTTCAGCCCCTTTATTCACTCAAACTGTGAAAAACCTAGGAGTGTTATTTGACAGCAGCCTCAAATTTGACAAGCAGATTAGTTCTGTGGTCAAAATAAGCTTCTTTCAACTGAGGCTCCTAGCAAAGGTGAAGCCCTTTTTATCTAGAGTCGATCTAGAAAAAAACATTCATGCTTTCATTAGCTCACGACTCAATTACTGCAATGCCCTCTACACTGGAATTAGTCAGTCTCTCCTCTGTAGGCTCCAGTACAGAATGCGGCTGCTCGCCTACTGTCGAATACTCCAAAGCATGTTCATATCACCCCTGTCCTTCAGTCTCTTCACTGGCTTCTGGTACAGCTTAGAATTGATTTTAAAATTTTGCTGTTTGTGTTCAAGGCCATTAATGGCCTTGCTCCAGCCTATATGTCTGATCTTTTAACTATTCATACCCCGGTCAGAGCGCTGCATTCCTCTGAGCATTTGTCTCTGGTTGTACCGCGGGCAAGATACAAAAAATGGGGTGTTCGTTTATTTGCCGTATATGCCCCCAAGCTCTGGAATACCTTGCCTCCTGAGCTTCGGTGTATAACCGAGTTAATGGTTTTTAAGTCTAAATTAAAGGCACACCTATTCAGACTGGCTTTTGGCACTTAATTTTTAGCACTGGCGCTATACAGGTGCCTACAGGCTTTCTGATTTTATATTCTGTAATCTTATTCTGTTTGTACTTAGTCATTTTTATTGTGCAGGAGTGTTATAGTTGCTCACACACAGCTGTTTTAAATTTGTGTAATTTTAACTTTTTTTTGTTTATGTGTGTTAACATGTTCTGCTTTTATTTCTATATGCTCTGTTGTGAAGCACTTGGAGCTCCCTTCGGTGTTGTAAAGCACTATATAAACAAATAAATTATTTATTATTATAAATCAGCTCAGACTAGCTTCCTTCCTTCATCCTATGCTGCAAAACATGACGTTTGGATTGGACTCACTGAGCTAGTCCTGAATCCACTCTGCTACTCTGCTCCCACTTGCTGTTGTCTGCTGAGCTACCGTTGCTAGATGCACAACTATTTTTAAGCATTTAGGTTTTTTTGAAAGGTTTTATTGCATAGGTGTTGCCATCTCAAGTAATATGTTTCACTTTCACACCTGATGTTGCAGCCTGTCCATTGTGTGTGGAGGAGCTGCGCACTTCCCTCGGTCAAACACTAACACAGAGCAGAAGTGAGACAGAGAGGCAAAGCGGCTCCATAAACACCAAAGCCATATTTTACAATCCAGTAATCTGTCGGTCCAGGTTCTTTCAAATTGAGAACCGGTTTAGAATTGGCATCCCAGCGAACTCAGAATCAGTTGCACTAATGCACCCAAATAAATTTTCACAATCACACACTAATTTTCACTCGCATAGAGAAGCACATACAGGACATCAGTGACATACTGTAGGTGATATGCAGGTCATACCTCTTCTTTTTCTTATAAACTTGCAGTTGGTTGATATGATGTTGTTTGAATGTCTGCTGTTCACACTGATGACACAGAGTCTCCAGGTATATCAGTCTGCTCTCCATCTCTGCAAAGTCACCTTCCAAATGAGCTGGAGACAAACACACACATATTCACACATTAAAACCAGTGCAAGGTACAGTAAGTAACTGGGATTGAAACTATGGAGCCTGGAGAGCACAAATCTTTGACCATGTTTACTTAAATGTGTTTTGCATGCAGTCATAATTTCCACTTTTCATGCATGTGTAATCCATCCATCCATCCATTTTCCTCCACTTATCCGGAACCGGGTCGCGGGCGCAGCAGACTAAGAGGAAGACGGACATGGCTGAGGGGGAGCAGCTGATCTCGAGAGTAAACTAAGATTTGAATCTTATAGGCTTTAGTTACTTTATAAGCTTTAGTTACTTTTCATACCTTTAGTTTCCTTTAGTTACTTTTCATACCTTTAGTTTCCTTGCTTATATATATTAAAACTGTATTGATGACTGCCAAATTCTACTGAGTTAGAAGTGCATGCTGTAACTTTGTGGAGCCATAATGTCTGCATCTTCATTGTAACCAGATGGCCTGATTTACACCTCCACACAGACCTGTTGGCCTTACTTACATCTTCACACAGGCCTGCTCAGCATTTTACAGGTTTTGCTTTGTAACGCAATATTTACAGAGGCAGGGGGCTTGAAATGATCACTTGGCCCGTTTTGCATATTCACTAGGCCTGCTTTGTCCTGTAATAGCCTACACAAATAGGGGGTCTGCAGCGCAGACAACCAATTGGTTCAAAGGTTCAAAGTGTTTATTTTGTCATATACACAGTTAGGAAACGTGTTTCCCTGTACAATGAAATTATTACTTTACCGTCTACATGAATGCCACAAAATACAAATGAAATATAAAGTAGATAAATCGGTAACACAAAATCTAAAGCACTTTAAGCAGCAACAAATAATGCAGCAATATAATAAAAGAATATAACAGAGAATTGTTCAGTATTCATTGTTAGCTACTTCCTGAAATCACAACACTCACACACACCTGGCTTCGAGCACATGTTCAGCAAGCAGGAGTGGGCTTAGGTTGGCCTGCCCACGCCAAGAGCCGACAGAATTAGGATACGTGTAAGTCCAATCTCTGTGCGGGGTGGACTCCGCCCAAGAAGATAAATGTAACCAGAAACAATGGCTCGGGGCTTTTGAGAACAGTTTTCCTGTGGAAGTTCTGTCTCTCAGGGCCCAGTGCTGTATGGCTTCACCTATGACTAGACTGATTAAATTTTCCGTTGATTCTATACAGCCCTCTTCTGTCTTCTCTTCTTGCGCTTTCAACAAAAGAACTGGGTTTTTCTAACAAAACAATGGGGCCTGCTACTCCCAGAGTCCCCCAACTCAGTAGCTTGTGAAAGAGAATAAAACATAATGCTAACACAATAAAAATCTGTACTCCTAGTAGCACAGCTCCACAGAGGCCTACAGAGAGAATTACAGTGCATCCAGCAAGTATGATTCTACAAGCTTGGCACACCTACTTTTGGGCCGTTTCTCCCATTCTTCTTTGCAGTACCTCTCAAGCTCCACCAGGTTGGATGGGGAGCGTTTTCAGCCATTTTCAGATCTCTCCAGAGATGTTCAATCAGGTTCAAGTCTGGGCTCTGACTGGGCCGCTCAAGGACATTCACAGAGTTGTCCTGTAGCCACTCCTTTGTTATCTTGGCTGTGTGCTTAGGGTCGTTGTCCTGTTGAAAGATTAAGCGTCGCCCCAGTCTGAGGTCCAGAGCTCTCTGGAACAGGTTTTCATCAAGGATGTCTCTGTATATTGCTGCAGTCATCCTTACCTCAATCCTGACTAATCTCCCAGTTCCTGCCGCTGAAAAACATCCCCACAGCATGATGCTGCCACCACCATGCTTCACTGTAGGGACAGTATTGGCCAGGTGGTGAGCGGTGCATGGTTTCCTCCAGACATGAGTTCACTCTTTGTTTCATCAGACCAGAGAGCTTTGTTTCTCATGGTCTGAGAATCCTTCAGGTGCCTTTTGGCAATCTCCAGGTGGGCTGCCATGTGCCTGTTACTGAGGAGTGGTTTCCATCTGGCCACTCTACCATACAGGCCTGATTGGTTGAGTGCTGCAGAGATGGTTGTTCTTCTGGAAGATTCTCCTCTCTCCACAGAGAAATGCTGGAGCTCTTTCAGAGTCACTATCGGGTTCTTGGTCACCTCCCTGACTAAGGCCCTTCTCTCTTGATCTCTGTCTGGCCAGGCGGCCCACTCTAGGAAGAGCCTGGTGGTTCCAAACATCTTCCATTTACAGATGATTGAGGTCACTGTGCTCTTTGGGACCTTCAATGCTGCAGAAATTTTTCTGCACCCTTCTCCAGATCTGTGCCTTGACACAATCCTGTCTCGGAGATCTACAGACAATTCCTTGGACTTCATGGCTTGCTTGGTTTGTACTCTGACATGCACTGTTAACTGTGGGACCTTATATAGACAGGTGTATGCCTTTACAAATCATGTCCAATCAACTGAATTTCCCACAGGTGTACTCCAATCAAGTTGTAGAAACATCTCAAGGATGATCAGTGGAAACAGGATGCACCAGAGCTCAATTTTGAGTGTCATGGCAAAGGCTGTGAATACTTACAGTATGTACATGTGAGTTTTTCATTTTTTATTTTTAATAAATTTGCAAAGACTCCAAACAAACTTTTTTCACATTGTTATTATGGGGTATTGTTTGTAGAATTTTGAGAACAATAATGAATTTAATCGATCTTGTGGAAAAAGTTAAGCGCTGTGAATACTTTCTGAATGCACTGTATAACACAAAGCAAACACAGAAAACTTCAGAAAGCATGGAAAAAAACACAAAAGAGGAGAGAGCTGCTGGAACTAGCTGCCACTCCATGGGGCGCCGGAAATGAAGAGTGGGTTTTTGTATTTAATTAGTACGTGGTCGACTTCTGTAATATTACTGAGCAAGCAAAGTGATGGAGGAGGGATTCTACAGCCCAGAATGGTGGAGAGTTTCTCCAGAGGGAATAAACTGGTTGGCAGGTCCAAGTAGCATGAAAATAATTGTCGGTGCAATCTAGAGTGCATTGTGAACAGATGTCTATGTCAGTGAAACCCATTTTAAACATTGTACTTTGTGTAATATGGGTCTTGTATAAGTTGTAAGTTTATGTTGCTGGTCACAGAAAAGATATTACAAATTTCAAATCAAAATCAAAAGAATTTTATTTAAAAAGCAGTTTAAAAATATCCAGTATTTTACATAGGCAGAATAAAATCACAATAAATAACTAAAATAAACGGGTGCAAAAATAACAACACAATAACTCAGACACACAGATGACATACATTCAATAAATTAAATTAAAATGTATGCATCAGGCCCTACTGTGTATTAAAAGCCAAGGTAAATAAATATGTTTTAAGCAAGGTTTTTAAAGTAATCAGGCCAGTAGCTGATCTAACATTAAGAGGTAGACTATTCCACAATTTTGGAGCTGCAAAAGTAAAAGCACAGTCACCCCAGTGTTTATATCTGGCCCTGGCAACCTCTAAAAGAAACTGGCTGGAAAATCTTAGGGACCTTGTAGGTTTGTGCTAATGCAATAATTCAGTGAGATAAAATGGCGCCAAACCGTTAAGACCCTTAAAAACAAAAATCAACAGTTTAAAATCAATTCTAAAATAGACTGGAAGCCAGTACCAGGGTTATATGCTCAAATTTTTTAGTACATGTCAGAAGACGAGCAGCAGCATTTCGAACCATCTGAAGACGAGAGAGGGAAGACTGGTTAACACCATAGTATAGAGCATTGCAATAGTCAAGGCGGGAAGTGATAAAAGCATGAATTGCAATCTCAAAATCCTTAAAAAAAGGGAATGACTTGACTTTACTTAACAATCTGAGGTGGAAGAAGCTAGATTTCACAACTGATTGGTTAATTTGCTTGTCAAATCTTAAGTCACCATCAAACATCACCCATAGGTTTTTTACAGGCGACTTCAGATGTTGAGCTAGGGGTCCCAGACCCTGGTCAAAAGAAGTCATTTCGCCAGGTCACCAAATAGCACAGTTTTATTTTCGTTAAGATTTAAAAAGTTAAGTTTCAGCCGTTATTTGACAGTCAAACGGTTGTTGAAGAGGAGGAACAGGTACCACTAGAGAAATACATTTCCTGTCGAAAATGTGTGTAGATGCTAATAAGCTGAAAGATCGTCCTGAAAATGCCTGAAATCAATTGCTGAAACAGCTGAAAGATGAGAAGAAATGGCTTAGGTACTCTGTTGAATAATCTGAAGGATGAGATGCAATCAGGTAGGAATGGCCTTCAAGAGCTGAACATTTTGATACCTGAATGGTGTTTCTAGCTAAAGGTATGCTAAGCTTATTAAGATGTGAAAATAGTCCAATTGGACCCCACAAAGGAGGGGGGACAAAGAGAGGCAGAGGGGAATGCGCTGCATTTTATGAACCACCAGATGGCACTCCGAGACTATGTCATTGACTCAGCACTTTGAGCTCCCATTGACTGGTATTGCAAACAATAAAGCTGAATCAATTAAAAAGTATAAATGTTATAAAAAATTTGAGTACAAGCAGGGATGTCCCTTTACAGCATCCACACAATAATAATGAATAAAGAACAGGAGAGCAAAGTGTGGATGCTTTATAGTAGCAGCAGCTTTTTTGAAAGCATCTGGAACTGAGCCTGTCCTTAAACATAAATTAATTAGAGCCAGAAAGCTAGGCCCAACAGAGTCAAAAACATCCTTAAACAGTCTAGTTGGCAAACAATCCAAAGAACAGTGAGATGCTTTCATGTGGTGATCCAGTTCAGATAGCATAGGCAAAGATACAGGCTCAAACTGATCAAAGAAAGCAGAATGCAGAGCAATATCAGATGGGTCAGGATTAGTAGAACTGGAACACTGCCTAATGCTAGTGATTTTATCAGTAAAATATTGAAGAAAACCCTCACATACTGCTACAGATGCCTCGGGATGAGAGGCAGGATTACACGGGTTGATAATAGAATTAATTGTACTGAACAGGACCTGAGATTTAATCTTAAT